TTTCTGCCTCTACCTCCAAACACTGGAATTACAGGCGTGTGCCACCTTGCCTGGTCAGTGTTTGGATCTTGAGTTTGCCTTTCCATGTACAGTGTTTGCTCTTCTTTTCAACTCTGTTCCATCAGTATACATAAAGGTATTGTCTGTTTTGCTATTCAAGACAGAATCAAGGAAAGATTTGGGACAAGTCACCATGCCTCAGGATTAGCGATTAGAAAGCTGAAGATCCTTATTATGATGCAATCAGATGACCCATAGTTGTCCTCTTGACTCTGAAGCTATTGTGACAGATTTAAAATAATTTTTTATGTACTTATTTTTTTATGTGTACATGTATGAGAGTGCACCTGTGTCATGCAGTGCCCACTGAGGCCAGAAGAGGGTGTCATATTCCCTGGAACTGGAATTATGTACGGTTGTTAGCTGCCATGTGGGTGCTGTGGACTGAACTTGGGTCCTCTGCAAGAGCAGCCAGTGCTCTTAACTGCTGAGCCATCTCTCTAGCCCCAACAGATTTTTTTTTTTGAGACAGAGTCTCCCTGTAGCCCCAGCTAGCCTTGAACTCTGCCTCCTGAATGCTGGGATTAAAAGTGTATGCCACCATGCCCAGTAGATTTTTTTTTTTTTTTAAAGACCAGGTCTTGCTAGGTAGCTCATGCTGGCCTGGAATTTACTGGGTAGTCCAAGTTGACCTGTAACTTGTAATCCTCCTGCCCCAGTCTCCTGAGTGCTGGGATGTGACAGATTTTTAAAGAGGCCCTTGCCAAAGTTTACACCTCTTGCTAGATTGACTTCTAGACTGTCTTGTATTTTATAGATGGGAAATTGTAATTTCTGTAATCCTAGCACTTGGGAGGTGGAGGCAGGGAGATAAGAATTCAAGGGTAGTCTTGGCTACATAGCAAGTTCAAGGCCAGCCTGAGTTACATGAGACTGGTTCCCCAAAACTAAAAAACTAAAAAAAAAAAAAAAAAAAAAATTTTTTAAATAAATCATTTACATACACGTACAAAGTCACATACAGCAGCAGAGCTGGCCTTCATGACCACAGAGTCATGCTTTTTCTGTTGCATCATTCTTTCCCTACTAATCAGGAAACTTATCTCTTGCTGCTTTAACAAATCATTTGAACTTGGCGGCTTAAACCACACAAACTTAGTATCTTACAGTTCTAGACGCCAGAAGTCTGACATAGATATGAGACTGAAATCGAGGTGTCTGTAAGGTTGGACTCCTCTTTGGAGGCTTGAGAGGAAAACACATTTCTTTGTGGAAGATTTTGGAGGCTGCCTGGGTTCCTTGGTTCAAAGAACCTCTTCTCCACCTTCAGAGCCAGCAATTGAGGGCTGAGTCCTTGCATCCTGTGCTGGATAGCTTTAGTGTCAACTTGACACACCTGGGTTGAGGGAGCCTCAATTGGGGAATTGCCTCCATTGGACTGGCCTATAGCCATGTCTGTGGGGTATTTTCTTGATTGTTGAGTGATGTGGGAGGGCCCAGCCCACTGTGGGTGGTGCCACTCCTGGGCAGATGGGTCTGTGTTGTATAAGAAAGCAGGTTGAGCATGGGCCAGGGGAGCAAGCCAGTAAGTAGTGTTCCTCCATGGCCTGTGCTCCAGCTCCTGCCTCCAGGTTCCTAGCCCTGATGTGCTCCCTTGGGCTCCCTGATGAACTGTAACCCAGGAGATATAAACCAAATAAACCCTTTCTTCCCCAAGTTGGTATTGGTCAGAGTATTTTGTCACGGCAATGGAGAATCAAACTAGAACAAATCCCATCTGTCAGACCCTTCTTCCTTCTGGAACCTCTTTCTTCCATGGCCAGGAAAGATCTTTCTTTGAAAGATTGGGCCCACCAGGGTAGAATAAGATGATCTCTCATCTAAAGGGCCTTCACATAGGCACATCTATGTTTGGTCAGGTAAAGTAACATATTCATAGGCTCCTGGGATTTGTGAGAAAACACTTTTGGATGCACTTATTCTGTTTCTCTTACCCGATCACTAGATTATGGCTTCTAGACCCATGATAAGAAAACAGGTGTAGCCTGACTTTCAGAATCTTCCTGATGTCAGCTGGACTTTACCAAAGTTGATACAGATGAGCCTGTCCTCCATAACAAATTCTTCCCAAAGCCCCTAGTGTTCCTGATATTCAGATGGGGTAGGTAGAACTGAGCCCTGGACATCCTTTTAGATGTCCAGCTTTGAAAGTTAATGTGGATGTCAACGCTGTAAAGACCTACATGCACATCTGAAGAAGGGCCAGAACCTCCCCTCTCTTATGCTATTCACATAGACAACAAAAAGTAACAGCCTACAGGGTCCAATGCATTTCATCCTCCTGGAGAGCTTTGGTGTAGACACTGCAAGCTAGCCTAGGACTGACAGGAATGCAGGTTGGCATGAAGAGCTATGCCACCAGCCCCAAAAGGGCTGAAGAAGAGAGAAGTAGGGACCATGCCTGGCGAAGACATCTAAGACAAAAGGGTATGCAGTTCACTCAGCCCAGCTCCGTCTGGCCCCCCCTTCTTTAGCCCCTCCAAGGGTCACTATTGTGCTTTCCAGTGCGTATTGGATGCTTGACCTGGGCATTTTATTGGCATCCTGGTCATGTTCTGAAAACAGACATTTTCTCTAGTTCATGGAATTCCTGCAAATGCCCTTGCAGTCTACTCACTCTGCCCACTCCCAGCCCTGTATACCACAGATGCAGTGCCCCAATTGTCCCCACCCACCCTTGCCGCCAGCTGCTCTGTACTCTCCCACTCAGACCAAGGGGCCCCCAGGGAGTTACCAGTACACACCACTGTCTGTATCTGGGGGAAGACAGGCCAAAGTGCCTGGGGGAGGGGACTGGGCTGTTGGAAACTTTAATCAAGCAAGGACCGTTAACAGCTGCAGAGACTCCTTAGGAAACAATGAACCTCAAAAAGGAAATACTTGTAGAACCTCTTTCTTCCATGACCTATGATGACTTTTCTGAAAATGGCTCGTCATTCCCTGCCAGGACAAAAGACGACAGCTCTCACAGGCAGCCTCAGCCCACAGGATCCATTGCGTTCCATCCTCGTGGGGTTTGGGGGCTTTGACGTAGACACTCACCTCCCACAAACACCCCAACAGGTCACAAAGTCCAGGGGCTGTGCTCACATGCAAGCACACGTACACAGCTGCCTCTCCGCAGACATCTTCCTTAGGAGACAGTGCGCATGCTCTTCAGCCTCAGGGGTTACTTTCTCCGGGGAAGGCAGGCTTCACCACACTACTGTGAAGAGCTCAAGCATCACTGTCACACACCACCAAGTCACATGAATTGTTAGCATGTGGTGAGGAGTTTTTCCCCTTCCTTCTTCCTCCCCACAGCTGTAGGAGGGCTTTCTGAGGGGGCGGATGTGACCCACAAGGGGGTGGGTTTATACAGTTGGTCCCAGCTCATTCCAGCCCCCTGTCACATAGGCCCTTTTGGGGGTCTGTGAGAGGGTACACTGTGGTGAAATAATATTAGAAAGCACCCTTGGGCACTGCTGCTCAGCAAACTCTCCTCTCCTCCATTCCTTCCCCTCCTTCATCAACCAGGACCTCATCACCTATGATACCCTCAGGTTCAGGAGTCTCCCCAGCAAATGCCCGTTTTCCTTGGAGCTGGGTGTAAGGGACATACACGTCTAGCCCCAGGCCCTTTCAAAGGAAGAACTTTTCAGGACGCAAAAGGAAATGTCTTTGGTTCACTTCTGCCTAGAAAGCCATAGCCTTTCTTGAATCCTGTGCTCATGGGCTCCTTTTTCCCTCCCTAGCAGGGTACGTGAGAACTACTGCTGCCACAGGCTCCCAGAGGTGCCCAGTGGAGCTATCCCTCACCTCAGCCCCAGTCCAGGCCTGCTCCTGAGCCTTTGCCCAGTGCTCACTGGATTGGCTCTGATGTGGATGCCACAGGATGACAGGGGCAGGAGGGAGGGCAAAGGGAAGGGGCTACCTGGCCACAGTATGATCAGGCAGACAGCAGGGAGGGGGATAGGGAAAGGCTGTGAAGTGGGGAGTCTGGAGTATTCACAGAGGAAACCAGTTTGTCCTTATGTCCTCTGCATTTACCAAAGGGCTGTCACATTTCCAGGAAGGTCTTCTAAGTGGCAGATCTGGGGGCAAGCAGGAGGGGATCTGGGCACACCCTAGAAATCTCCCACACCAGATGAGGGACATGAGCCTTATTTGAGCCACAAAATTAAAGATTCCCTTCTGGTAACCCATGGACCTACTGGAAACTCCAAAATGAGGAAGAACTAAGGTTCCCTGCTAGGGACCCCTAGTCTGATGGTTAAGGATAAAGTCTCAAAGTAGAGCAGTAATTGGGGTGATGTTTGGACCAATTAAAAACAAAAGAGCTTGGGGTTGGAAAGATGGCTCAGCAGTTAAGAGCACTGGCTGTTCTTGTAGAGGACCCAGGTTCTGTTCCCAGCACCCACAGGGCAGCTAGCAACCATCCATAACTTCAGTTCTAGGGGATCTGAGGCCCTCTTCTGACCTCCATGGGCATTGTACACACATTTTCTTACACATGCAAGTAGAACACTCATAACACATAAAATAAAATAAAAATAAAATAAATAAATAAAAAATAAAAAGAACAAAAGAACTCCAACTACGCACTGATAAATCCCAGAGAACAGCAGGCAGGAGGTGAGCGGCCAATCAGGGAAGACACTAGGAGGACTGGCATGTGGAACCTAAGGCGTGTGGAGACTGAAGTGGGTCTAGGATACATGGCGAGGGGGCACTGGCTGGACACAGGGTCAGGACAGCCTCTGCATCTGTTTGGGACTTCAGTGTCCTTCCCCTGCCCCTCTGGCTCCAACCCAGGGAGATTTCTGCTTCACTGAGCCCATCTGTCAGAGACCTTCCTCTTTTGTGACTGGGGGGTCACAGTGCAAAGTACTGAACCTTGCAATCACAGAGAGAATTCAGCACCCATGAGTGTGGAGGGACAGAGAGGAGAGTGACCAGGGACGTGTTGGGTGGATGTGCCCAGGACCATGGCTGAGGCCATCACCTATGCAGACCTGCGGTTTGTGAAGGCTCCCCTGAAGAACAGCATCTCTAGCTGTTTAGAGCAAGGTAAATGGGGGACAGGGGTCTCCCCTTCATATTTCACCCCATTCTTAGACCCCATTCCTGACTCCTAAGTCGGACTATTTTCTTTCTAGACTCTGAGGCCTATGAAGATGGAGAACTCACCTATGAGAATGTACAAGTGTCCTCAGTTTCAGCGGGCCCCTCAGGCTTGACTTGCTCTGTACTAGCTGACAAAACAGGTATGGAGGTCCAGGGATGTGTCTACGAAGGGTGTTTTCAGCCGGGAGTTCCCAACAGTCTTGGGAAAACAAGAACCTTCCAGAAAGGGGTAGGGAAGTTCTTCCAAAACAGAATGAGAACTGGATAATTGGGAGCCAGGGAGAAGAGACATCCCAGGAGAACAGTGGAGGGAGGTCCTCAAGGTGAGCGCTGGGGCAGGATCAAGGCAGCCCTGTGGGAAATGAATTCTAGTGGGAAACCCAGAACCAGGCGGGAGATGGAAGAGGGATGCAGGCAGGATGGCAGACAAGGGCCCCTGGGGAAAAGGCGGCTCGAGGTGATTGAGTACCTCCTGCATGGCAGTTCTGTAGACAAGCAAGAAGGGAACTGGAGCCACCCCAAAAGCCCCCGAGACGAAGGAGGACGCGAGTCCCATAGCAGCTGAGGTCTGGAGAGTGATGTGACTATCTTAAAGCAGTGACAAAGGGCAACCCAGGACAGACTAGGGTCTCAGTGTGGTGTGAGGCTAGGGAGATGGAACATTAACCCGGCTTTCCTTCCTCACTCTGGGCTCTTCCCCTTCTGCAGGGGTCAAGTCAGAGCAGTCAACTACATCCTGGAGCTCCATGACATCGCCAGCTGTGAGGCGAATTCTCTCCTGTGCGTATAGTTCCCTCCGCAGTCCCGCAGCACGTGCTGTCCACCAGCAGCTGCCCGCCTGCCTGCTCCAGGCAAAGGATGGCAGATGCGATGTGTCGGTGTGGGTTCCCCTCAGGGATTCTTCTGCCCGGTGCAGTTCTTTCTGAGGATGAGCAGGATGAACCGGGCAGCAGCCTTTGGGACTGCTCC